CTGGGGTGCGTGGACCATTTCGTTTTCGCTACACTCAACCCGTAGCTTCCCCCACCTTCGAAAAACTTAATCACTTCATACGATCTGAACTGTCAGAATGTCAAACCCTTCCCCCTTAGGCCGATGTCAGACTTTGCGAATCGAGCGATTCGCTAGCGTCTGCGGTCGCGTCGCGGCCAGTGAATCACTCAATTGGCTGGTACCGCAACGCGACCGCGGACGCTAGCGAATCGCTCGATTCGCAAAGTCTGACATCGGCCTTAGTGGATGAGACCCATAGATCTCATTCACAAGAGTTTCCCAAAAAAGCGACCTTTCAGCATACACTACTCATTTTCGTGCTAAGACTTGGCATCCGCTACAGTCGTAAACGCTAAACTATGTGACTAGCTAGCGCTAACAAAACACATGATTGTATAAATGAGCTATAATGAAAGAAATCACAGAAAGGAAAAAAATAAAATGAAATGCATGAAAGTAAAAAAAATCGTTACCACATCACTGTTCTTTTATAATCTCTCACTTACAGTAGCCGCACCAATTCCTTGCAAATATATAACACGGAGCGTTTAAATGGTAAACGCACGCGCGGTCGTGATGCGGCTAACAAAACCGTTCAAGGCTAAATGAAGAGTACACATCATAAGGCTTGAATGAAATTTTCAACAGTCAACTGAAACTACATTTGATTGAGGAACACATAAAAATAAATAAAAATGAGCACATAAAAACACCTGGTAATAGCCACAATCTGTTAACACAATTTGTACGCATAGTCAGTCGACTGGCGCATCGCAACGCGCTGTTGCGACGCGTCAACGCATCGCAACAGCGCGCTATTTAGGTATTACATACAACGCACAATAAAAATAGCGCGCTTATAAACCGCACATTTGCATAATAAAAATTTGTAATGGTACAGGAAGGAAAAAGAAGATAAATAAAATTGCCTGTTCAATGTTGACTCTCAAGAAAACGGAAAGGCGCTATTTGCTGATGAACTTGAATTTGCCGCTTTCAATTAACATATAGTGAAGCTCGTCTGGCATCATGTCATAGATTACTGCCAGATCCTCCAACGCTCTCGTACCATCACATAGCCGAAATATCCTTGAAATAAGTAGTGCAATCATGGTCGATTTCGCTTACCAGCAGATTTCGCTTTCTTGGCACATGGAAATAATTTGCAGCTGCAATGAGGTCTCTGAAATGAGGGTCTGGGGCACTAGGACAGCAAGCGACTCTTTCTTCGCTTTCGGGTGTCCCCCAAGAGGCCCTCGCGCGGCGAAGGAAGAGACGCAGATGCGGCAAAGAGACGAGTTGCAGCGCGTGCTGTGCGATATGAGACGTAGTATGGTACACTCTATTTAACCTGACGCCTAACCGCTACAGTAGCTGCGACTCGTCCTTTGCCGCGTCTGCGTCTCTTCCTTCGCCGCGCGACGGGTCTCTTGAGAGACACCCTTCCCTTTCGTGCCTATACTGCTCGACGCAGGTCCACCGCCCTGATCTTTGAGGAACGATAGCTTTCTCTGCTTCGAAAAATATTCGCGTTGAGTTCCACAATTTTGCTTGTTTCATGGCTACACTAACCCGCGCGTATTTGGATTAACCGCTACGGCCATAATCCACGCTGCTATCATGAGATGTGTTCGAGGTATCTCGTCCGTAAGCTCACATTGGCCGACATAAGCTTTTACTTAGTACAAAGCCACTAGGCGCCAATTGTTCGCCATTTCGAGTGCCGCGACATTATGTGATAAACCTCGGAGCTATTCCAGGTCCCAAGCCCACGAGAATAGATTTTGCCGACAAGATGCTCATCGGGTTTCTTGCTTAAAATTGCGTCAATACCACCACCTTTGTGATTAATGGGTCCTGCTACTTCACTTGAGGAGAGAATTTCTCATCAAGATCGGTCCTTTAAGCAACAGTGCGTCATGCATGCAACTCCTGCTAAGAAATGCAGCAAAACCTGGCACCCGCATCATATCTGACCTACACAATGAGCTATAGCAGGTATAGGCTCAAACTAACGCTTTTATTTTCTCGAGCAGTAGGGCTCCAACAAATGTACCAAAATTGAAAAAACTCGTTGCGTAAGCACTCACACAAGGGTAGCGCCACTTCCAATCCGCTTTACGAAATTTCCTTAATCATGACTTAATCAATTTCTCGTCTAAGATACTCACTTCCCAGATCGTTCCACCTCGTTTGGCGAGACCGTCGATATAGGATAAGTTGACAACTTTCTCAGAAACTGGTGATGCATGCCAAATTGAACAAGCCGGCGCTCATCGACGTTATATCGTCGAGGTGCCATTCTATCACACCAGTCACGTAATGTAACACCACACTAAAACACATGTATCACTGTTTGAACGTAAATAAACAATGGACAAATAAATGATTATTCGACTAACCTTGAGGCTCATCAATAGCCTGAAAATGTCGCAAAACTGTGGAGCTGGACCTAGTTCGCCGTCCGGCAAGCGATGTCGAACAAACTCGATGCAGTCCTGAAAGTTGCGTATCATACAGGGCCGTATGCAACAAGCCCGCGCAGGTCTGAGGGGATATATCCCCTCGGTCGTATGCAACAAGCCCCGACGCCCGCGAGGGGACATATCCCCTCAGTCGTATGCAACAAGCCCCGCAGCACTGAGGGGATATATCCCCTCGGTCGTATGCAACAAGCCCCGCTGCACTGAGGGGATATATCCCCTCGGTCGTATGCAACAAGCCCCGCTGCACTGAGGGGATATATCCCCTCGGCTTGTTCCATACGACTGAGAGAGGGGGACGAATCCCCCTACTCTCGACTAGGGGGATTCATCCCCCCGGCTTCGGTCATCATCATATATGAGTATTTCTCCACGAAATACATGACACGTTAGCGTCAGCGCACATAGCGATAGCTTTGGAAAAGAGAATCATCACATCGTGATAAAGCATTGTGTTCCCATTTGCACTGTAGTTCAGTCTTGATCCGTTTGATTCCGCTTTTTTTTTATGATGATTTCATCCAAATTCTCAGGCCAACCATACTTTTTTCACAAATTCACCTGTGGTTAATGCCTTAATCCTGCCGCGACGGCTAGAGCACAGACGATTAGAGAACGGGTGAATGTCCTAGGACTAAGCCTTAGAGAGGAGAGGGACCCGCGAGAGAGCACGCAGAGGCCAGTGAGAGCGAGTACATAGAAAGACCCGTGGCATATTAATATAGCAGACCGTTCAGAACTATAGCAGAGCACTCTACCAGAAGTACATACATGCATGAAGCATGTCACGAGCACAGTAAGAATAGCCACAATTGCAAAACAACGAACACTCTCACTATTGACTGAGTGCTAAACTTTCACACATGAGCGAAATGACACACCACCAGAAGTAGTTTACATCTACCTATCACAAAGCCAAGCGTATTCCCATTTATCATATATCACACTAAGAAAGTACGAGATTTATTGCATAACAATCACACAAGTTGCGACATCTTGAACAATTAAATATAACGTTGGATTGCAACATTATCACTTTATAACACAGTCAGCGAGTAGTTACACTACAACAATAGTAGAATAAAAAGACAACTAAACTGAGCAAAGTGATTGTCACATCGAATAATCTAGAAACTACAAATCCATACACACACATGAGAGTGACACATCCCGAGGGAACAGCATACCATCACATTACACCAAGACGCACAAACTGAAACGTGAAAAGTCCAACTGCAAACAGTGAAATCACACTAGAGTGAGGCAGATTCAACATATAACCCCGCATCGTCAAGCTATAATGAGGAATTACGGGCCCCTCCTCAGTCGTTGCAACATACCACCACAGAGGGGATACTACATCCCCTCAGTGCACGCGGCTGTTGCATACGGCCGAGATATATCCCTCAGTGCTGACGGCTTGTTGCATACGACCCGAGGGATACATCCGCTCTCTGAATGAGACAACATCAATAGCCCCACAGAAAAAAAATTATTTCTGAACAACGCGAAATCAAAGACAGTGAGTGCGTTCCAGAAAGTGAAAGAAAGTATGCAATCACTCTCTCGTATACGCTAAATCACAGTTCCGTCGTTTGAGGAAATACTAATGCTTTCGAAGATTGCTTTCCCGCTGCGGCAGTGCACAACGACCTAGACAAAGCGAGGCAGGCTGCCGGAAGTGCAGAGCCGTTAATATATAAAAACGTGGCGCATGAAGGAGAGTGGTGTTGCTTAAAGCAAAAGTCCAGGCAGGGTGGGCGTGGTTGGAGACGACGGCAATCCCCTCGGCAATTTCCTTTTTGGAGCTATGCAGCCCCAGCCATGAACATAAGGAGTGTTAGTGAACAAAAACACAACCACTGTGTTTATGTAGACATGAACATAAGGAGTGTTAGTGAACAAAAACACAACTTGGGAAACCGCTAGGAAGGGAGCTAAAGTAAGCTAAGTCGTAATCGGCCGAGTGGATTGCCGTCGTCTCCAACCACGCCCACCCCCCCTCCGCTGCCACTGATCTGCTCCCTCTACACATCAGAAGCCACATCTGACTGCGCGCTAGAATAAGTTTTTGGTTTATTAGTTTTTTTAAGTCCCATGTCTTTTTTTCCGAAGTCAAAAATCACTCGGTGGTGATGTCCGTTCCTCCAAGGGGTGCCACTGGGACCTGCTCACTTTTGTGAGCTGAGCTGAACACGGACATTCGAATGCAGGCGACAGGCCCCCGTGACAGGCCGGCCTACGAACACCCACGTCACATCACAAATGTCATGTCGCTAAATGAATCTCGAGATAATGCTACGGCGTCCGCGGGAGCCGACGCGCACTCGCAAAGCCCGGCGAGTGTGAAAAGTATGCGAGGGTCTCCGGTGCAAGGACGGCATCGGGGGGCAACTAGGCTAGTCCAAAAGTTCCGCAACGTATGGAAGACTCGCGTTGCGACGTTAAATGTTAGGCACACTAACGGGCCGCTCGCACTCCGTTAGTTAGAATCTTCTAGAGCCACCGCCCCTGCGACGAATTGACTTCTGTGCCGTGCAGGAAACGAGGTGGTCCTGCTGCAAGTCAAGGGACATTGGCCGCGGCTTCAAAGCCGTTCTCTGTGGCGGTCCCAAAACCACCAACGGCGTTGGGATGATTGTCTCTGAACGCTTCCGTGATTCGATAGTGAGCGTGGAGCGCTTCGACGACCGCTTAATGAAGATCATTGTCGTCATCGAACGTCAAAAATACCACTTCTTCTCTGCGTACGCTCCGCAGACTGGATGCTCCGAGCAAGCCAAGGACAAGTTCTGGAACCTGCTTGATGAGAAGACAGCTGAGGTACCGTCACAAGAAGCCATAATTGTTGCAGGTGACCTCAATGGTCACTTGGGCGCTACGAAAGACGGTTATAACTGTCATGGTGGTTTTGGATATGGGACACGTAATACTGATGGCGAGCGAATTCTTGAATATGCGGAATCGCATAACCTCGCCATTGTAAACACAAAATTCCGGAAACGTGAATCCCATCTTATCACCTTTCTATAGCGGTAAAACCAGATCACAAATTGACTTCGTCCTTGTCAGGCACCGCGATCAAGGGCTCGTAACAGACGCTAAGGTAGTACCTTATGAAACGGTCGTCACACAACACCGACCACTGATCTGCACGCTGAAGATCGCTCCGCCAAAACAGAAATTGGCTGAAAGGTGTGGGCCAGCGAGAATCAAGTGGTGGCGACTGAAAGAAAAAGAAGCGACTGTAGTTTCTCGCCTTCGACTACCGGCGGTTACGACTGTCGACGAAACTTGGAAAGGTGCAGCCGAAGAAATAACTCGGATAGCTCGATCCGAGCTCGGCGTTACGAAGCCTGGACGTCGGAGAATTGATAAGCAAACGTGGCTGTGGACGGACCAGGTCAGAGAGAAAGTGCGTGAGAAGAAGAAGCGGTACCACGCTTTTCTAAAGGAAAAGACAGCTGATAACTGGCGGAGCTATGTGATAGCAAAGAAAGAGGCAAAAAAGACCGTCGCTTCCGTAAAAGCAGCTC